AAAGGAAAGGTAGAGGGGGTAAAAGAGAGGGAAGAGGGGGTGAGAAAGAGGGGGAGGGAGCAGAGAGCAGGGGGTGAGGGCTGAGGAGATCCAGGAGGAGGACGCTGATGCAGGGGAGTGGAGCATGGAGGCATGGAGGGTCAGTCAGAGGACGGATGGAAGTCTGATGGAGGGTGATGGAGGGGGAGAGGTGGAGGTGGGAGACAGGGCAGAGGGGCAGAGGGGCAGAGGGGGCTGTTGGACAACAGCCCCCTCTGCCTTGCTGTCATGGTTGTTCAGAACAACCAGCTCCAGCAGCCCTTGTTCTTCCTCTTTTCTTTCTTTTCCTCCTTTTCTTTTGGTGTCTTCTCCACCTTTTTCTTTTCTTTCTTGTCCTTGTTTCTTCGGAACCAGCCGAAGAAGCTCCTTTTCTTTTTCTTTCTCTCGGGGAGCTCTTCTTCCTCCCCCTCCACAGGTGTTGCTTCCTCCTGCAGGTTGATGTTGTCCTGCTCCAAGTCGGTCGGCTTTTTGACTTGGTCACTTTTCTCTTCCTGTATCACATCAAATCAAATCAGATTTTATTTGTAAAGCATGTTTCAGACGCTACGACAACGCAAAGAGCTTCACAGCATTTAAAACATTATAAAGGAAACCCGTCCCTACACACACACACACACACACACACACACCTACACACAACTACACACAACTACACACACACACACACAAACACACCACTACCTGTAGGGAAACATGGTTCTGAGGATTGTGGGAAACGCTACCATTGGGGCCGTCCACACCGGGGGAGGCACAGTCCATGACCACTGGGGGGCGCTAGCACCCGGACCCCCCAACCCGGCAGACGGGGGATCCCCACACCGAGGTGGAGAGCCCCCAAACAGCCGGGCCAAAGGGACCCGCAGACAGAACCCCCAGCAGCAGACCGGACACAGCGCCCAGTGTGGAGGACCCCCATAAGGAAACACTGGAGCTAAAAACTAACAACTTTAACCACAGAACACCAACGCCGCAGAAAATTAAGAGTAAAATACATAAGATAAAAAACTAGATAATGATAAGAATGTAAAAAGAATAGAAATGGTCAGTTAAAAGCCTGATTAAAAAGTGTCTCTACCTGTTCGTCCTGCTGGTCCTGAACCGTCTCAGTGTCAGAGTCCTGGTTCTTCATGTCCGGCTCTGTCTCCGTCTCTTCCTGCAGGACCTCTGTCTCTGGTTCATGGTTTTCCATGTCCAGGTCTATCTGAGACTCTGTCTCTTCCTGCAGGACCTCTTTCTCTTGATCACAGTTGTCCTTGAACAAGAGAAGGAGGTCCTGTTCACAGTCCTCCATGTCCGGCTCTTCCTCTTTCTCCGGCTCTTCTTGGAGGACTTCCTTCTCTTGTTGACAGTCCTCCATGTCCGGCTCTTCTTGGAGGACTTCCTTCTCTTGTTGACAGTCCTCCATGTCCGGCTCTTCTTGGAGGACTTCCTTCTCTTGCTGACAGTCCTCCATGTCCGGCTCTTTCTCCGTCTCCGTCTGTTCCTGCAGGACTTTGTTGTTTTCTTTGTCCTGAGTCAGACGGAGGAGCTCCTGCTCCCTCATGCTGAACTGCTCCTTGAGCTGGTTCAGCTTCTCCTCCTTCGCCTTCATGATTCTGGCGAATTGCTGTCTCTCTGCCTCCAAGATCTTTTTATGCTCTCGCAGCAGAGCCTCCCTGTTTGCTACGAGTGCTTCTTTTATAGCAACCAAAGTGTTGCTCTGCTCCAGTCTCTCGTGGGCCCACTTATTTTCCTTCAGGAGCTGTGCGTGGAGATGTTCCAGCTCCATTTTTTGCTCCATCAGGTGCTGTTTGTCCATATTCCAGGCGTCCAGGGCGTACTGCAGCTCTGCGAGCTGGTTGGGTCGGTGGCATGGACCAGCCTGGTGCTTTTGGTTGTTCCACTGAGACATTGTTCACACGTAAAGGTTGCTGCTGGTCGTAGACTTTGGTCTCTGTCAGACTGCAGGGAGGTGAAAATGCAGCAACGATGCGTCTCTTGAGCAGGTAAAAGTTTGTGCCAGCTGTTAGAATGTCCCGTATATAAGCTGCTGATGACATCACAATGTTGTCATCAACTTCTTGTCCTTTGAGAGCTGATGACATCACAGTGTTGTCATCAACTTCTTGTCCTTTGAGAGCTGATGACATCATAGTGATGTCACACACCTCTGAGAGCCCTGCTGTTGCCTAGCAACGGGACAGCTGGGTTCTACTGGCAGGAAGTTTACTTCTGATTAAACTGCATCTCAATAAATAACAGCATCGTGAAAAAAGTCCAGTATTTGACCATTTAATTTAATTTGAAGGCAATCTTTGGTTTGTTCTATGTTAAAGTCAAAGTGAGCCATACTGTCAGTGTGTCCACATGTGGTGCTCACACACACACACGTTTACATCCATGTCTGAGTCAGCTGTTTCTCATCTGCCTCTTGATACACAGAATACCACAGTGTACAGAACACATGTGCATATATATTTATAAACACAAATATAAGATTTTAAAAAATGAGATCAAAGAATAAAAAATACAAAATATGAATACAGTGAAATAAAGTACACGTGTGCAAAAATGTCAAACGACCAGAAAGACTTGTGAAGTGTTCGGTGCTGGATGTGTCAATCACATGTAAAGAGAAATATTTCAAGGCTTTTTTAAATTTGCATTTCTATGATTCTGGCTTACAGCTCATACAAATCAGAACTCCAGTCTCTCATGTTATCAGACTTTTCCCTGAGATCGATCAGAAAAACGACTTGCAATAAAGAAATGTTCAGCTTTTGAGATAAATAAAAAGCAAGAGAGGACAGACAATAACGTGTCGGTGAAAACCTGTAATTTTCGATATGAAAGAGCAGGTCACTGAAAAGCATCAGACGAGTTTCAGTGAGAAACAACCCCGAGGCTTCCAGGTGGACTCGTAGAGTCCAGAGAGGCAGGAACGACCTGATTGACTCGACCAACTGTGTGACTGCTTCTATCCTAAATAGAACTTCGTCCTCCATCCGTCTCCAACTCAGAGATGACTGATGCTCAGACGAGGCTCCAGAGATCAAGCTAATGCCCCGGCCCGTCTCGTCCTGCCATCCATCAGGAGACCTGACAGAGAGCAGGAAGGAGTGCAGGACACCGTGGAGATGGACGGATGAACAAACATTCAGTAACTCGTGTCAGAGCAGCTTCACCGCTCTGAAGAACCTGTAACAACAGCTGGATGTGATCGCTTCATGCCTCGCCCGGTTTGCCTTAAGACGGTTTCCCCTTTGGCTTTGTTCTCGATAGTTAATGATCACCTGAACGTGCCGCTCATCACGATGGCTGCATAACACTCGCTCCATAACACTAATTACAGAGCCGTGCCACAGCAGGTGTGGTCTATTCGCGGCGTGCCCGGAGGCTGTGGATAGATCGCACCGACAACAAAAGCACGACAGACAACACGCAGGTCTTCGTAGTTTGTTAGTCATTATATGTGCAGCTCTTAATAGGATTTATCCAATTATTGGACTGGACGATTATCAAGACAGAGAGCTGGAGTTTTTCCAATTAACTGTATTATTTATTATTACTTTATTAAATGATTAGTATTGTTATTTTGAACATGGGCTCCACTGGTTCTGATGAAGCCGTCTCACTGTGTTTGTATATATTTTTCTGTTATTCTTAATTTTGAAACCAAGATTTTTATTTTGACTGCAAATGCATCGGCCATGAAAAATCCTAGTTATGAAATGATCACAACCATCTGCAATAAAATGAAACCAGAAGGCAAAGCTGTGCAGGTTTTTGACAAAGCTTCTCATTTTGAAAACACTTCTGTGCTTTCTCGCTGAATCTCAGACGTCACCATGAGCGAGCCGTCGCCAAGAGACTTAGCTTAGCATAAAGAGTGTTAACAGAGAAACAAACGTCTGTAAAACCACAACCAGTCATGGTACCGCTTCAGAGTTTGAGCTTGAAGGACATGTTACCTTTTAAAAATGAATATCTGTTTTTTTTAACTTAATAAAGTCATCAGATTTTCAGCTTGAACTACTCATTTGTGACGCGTCTTTCAATCAGAAAACGGAATGAAGTCGAAGCTTGAAATCTTATTTCATCACTTTTCTGTATGTCTCATCCGAACATTTGCCAAAAAATAAAGCACCAACCATCCATTCTGCTTTCCTCTACGCTACGATAAAACCAATGGTTACCAAATTTATGACCAAGTCCATCCATCATCTCTACACCTTAATCCTCACCAGGGTCATGGGGGGCTGGAGTCTATCCCAGCTGACTCAGGGTGAAGGCAGGTTCACCTGGACAGGTAACCAGTCTATCACAGGGCTACACTTAGAGACAGACAACCAAGCACACTCACATTCACACCTACGGACAATTTACAATCACCAATTAACCTCAGCATGTTTCTGGACTGTGGGAGGAAGCCGGAGAACCCGGAGAGAACCCACGCTGCACGGGGAGAACATGGAGACTCCACGCAAGAAGATCCCAGGTGTCCTCACCGGGACGCCAACCGGCGACCTTCTAGCTGTGAGGCGTTAACGGTGCTAACCACCAAGACACCTGCAGCCCACTATGACAAAGACTGCCTGACTGTTCAGCTGAACTGGGCTGAGCTGCAAGTTGTGTTTACGTAGAGAGGACGGGGTGTCACGTATGCAGTAAAGTGTCGACAGTATGTAGAGTTCAACACATGGAAAATGAAAAGCTGTTGATTCCAGGTTATTGAAAAATGAGCCCACAGTGAGTAAAAACATGACGGGAGGAAAAAGAAACTGCTTGAGATTCAGAAAGCTAATCATCATCCAGATGCAGATTTTTGTTTTGGACAAATCCAAGCTCACTAAGTTCCTTATATCCTAGCAACAGGTTCGTATTTAACACACAACAGCGGCACCAATCTTCTCACCAAACTCCAAAATGTTGAACAATTTAAACATCTGCCAGGACAGCAGATCAGCAGCACAAGAGTTCAACAAATGAATCTTTTAAAATAAGTTGTCTAGAAGCTGTATGCATGTTTATGTCAGTGTGGGCTCATTAAAGTGTGTGTGAAAGACAAAGTTCGCTGATTCAAGCTTTTTAAATGTAAGGAGCATTTCTGGTTTATATATACATACATAAAGAGCTCAGCTGTTGCACTGCATCTGTCTGACAGGAACACATTAGTGTCCGTGTTCGTTATCCCATCATGGGACCAGATTAAACCATCGTTCTGTTGGCATCACAAATATCTGTTTACAGCCCTTCAGACCTTTATATAAATGGTCACTCCAAACATTAACGCGGCATGTCAACAGGATGGTGAAACACACAGAGCTTAAGTCAACAGTGGACGGTTACAGCCAGCGGAGCGTCGGCGTGGCAGCAGAGTGACCTGCAGGTCGACAAACATGGCCGATATGTACTGTGTTCAAACCGCCTGTCGCGATGTGTTATTAAAAGTGAGCTGAGATATGATGAATGTGGGCAACCCAGTAATACAGCCTCCCATCAGAGGACACCATGATGCCTCCAACCAGGATCTCCTTATCAAAGGCGAGCATCTGTGGCTTCACAGTTGTGCACAATAATAATAAAGGCGCTGTGAAGATGCAGGAAGTCCGTTCAGAGAACTGGGCCCTTTCACCACACTTCAGAATCAGACTGTAATTTCTTCAAGTGTGTTCTCTTATTCATATTATAAAAGCTGTAAACGTTTGCCAGGGATGCTCATCGGCTCTGCCTGGTGGCTGCAAACACAAAAGTGCAGCCTCGGGGCAAATTCCACACAACTGAGTGTGGTAGAGCAGGAGGAGCCTGATTATGTCATGTTAGGTGCTTCAGAAAGGGTGCTGAGGAAAAGACAATATAATTACATTTAATCATCATTCCAAGCTTTAACACTGCCAACAAAATAATAATACAACATGAAACTTAACCCACAGGACGAGAAGCTGCATCGCTCACTCTGATGCTTGTTTCTGTGTAAATATGCTCATTGTGAACTTGTGCAAAACCCGATACGCCGTACTGAAGCTCTATTCATGCGCCCAGGTTCCACCTACAGGAGTGGACACAGTCACGTCTATTCACACGGCAGACAAAGCCTCGGCGTGCACAAAGCGCCGCACAAACATTTGTTGACTGAAGCTGAACTTGCCTCTGGCGGACACCATCTCCAAACCATCTGGCTTTTGAATCACTTCTGCTTCGGACAGCTGAGCTCCACGGTGCAGCTGAGCACTTCATCTGAGCTCCCACGACTGATGCAGATTTCCACCAAGTCCAGTAACAGACCAGCTCGTGAGCCCAGAACCATGCGAGCCCTGTGTTCTCCTAAACACACTGACAGATTCATGCTCCGCGTTCTGGGAGGAACATCGTGTTTCTCGGTCAAATTCATCACCTCTGCGGCGTCCTGGGATTCGGTGAACCGCGACTCGAAGCGGAACATGTGCACGCAGCATCCTGTGTGCGTCGCCACGGATACCGTGCGTCGTGTCTCTGCTTCCTGTCTGGCCGCTGAGCTACCTGTAAATGACGCCGAATCTCTCAAATGGATTCCCTTTATTGCTTTATGCATGCTTTGAATATTTGATGTCCTTTTCATCAGACTTCTTTCCATTTCAACAGGAGGAGGACCATGAGTGGAGCTTAATCTGGACGCTGAGTACTTTACGATGTCGCACACAGACGTAGGAAAACTGAGGAAGCAGAACAGCGAAGGAGTCCAGAGCGCCCACCTCCACCTGGCCTTCAGAAATGATCTCATCCAAAAGGTTAAAGTCATTGTAGGACAGGATGAATCTGGTCTGTTCTGTTGTGCTGCTAAAACAATCCTCAATTCTGCCCCAAAGAATCCAACTGAATCTGAGCCGCTTTACATTTCTGGATCTACTCGACCGCATCCAGCCTCCTCCGACC